ATAAAAAGTGACACTGAGTAGAGCGGACGTACAAGGCAACTGTAATATCATCACGACTGTGCCATTCTTCGGTGGTCCAACTATATTACCTCTTGCGTCTTTGGCTGTGCGTTTTGCAACTACTGGGAAGCCTTCGCAGAAGCAAAACCTGCTTAAGACATCGAAGACTGTTGAAACGTACAACAAATGTCCAGTCTTGAAAGATCTTCACTTCAATTAAAACTCTGTTGCCTTCGCATAGATTTCTGATATCTTTAAAACTCTCTCCGCAGCTGATGTTTTGATTCTCGAATTAGCAGCGGTCTGTTCCTCTTGCGTTTCCGATCTCATTCACTTCCATCACCGAGTGATGCGGTTACTGCGAACGAAGTCACGTGATACAAGTTTCCTCCCTTGTCCTTTCTCTTACTCGCCACTTCGTGACTCGGTCGCCCTTCGGGCGACGTGCCGTGCGCCAGCGAGGATATGGCTTGTGGTTATTGATTTTCAAAAGTCGATCTGGGTCAGATAAGAAGCGAAGAAATCGTTTACAGTAGATTTATAAAGATCCCGTTGGCATAGACATTTTTCAAGGTGAGACTTTAAATAAGTCATTCATTTATTCACACGAAACTCCTCTGGACCCTGTGGTAGAAGTGATCACTGTTACTTTTATGAAAGCAGTACCGACCGTAGATGTCCTCACAGCAAGCAATAATGACGCAGAAATCATAGTCTAAAATTAAGAGAATAAACAAACTCGACCGCTATTACTCGTATTGGCTAATTTTGTCGGTTGTTGTTCCATGAAATACCACGTGACATTGCTTTTATCCCACCAATCCTAGATGGCGGGTATCGTGAATAAGGTCTATTGTTCGTTACTATCATACAAATGTTAAACCTTACCAAGTACTTTAAGTACGTCGCCGCCTGAGTAGCCTGCAGAGTGAATGTTGTGAGCTCGTCCATTCCTTTCCACAGTTCAATTAGTCCTTTCCACATGCTACCTTGATAGTTATCAAGCTAAAATGCAACAGGATAAATTGAGTGACTAAGTAAAGTCAATCAGCTAAAACTGGAATTTTTCAAACACTTTTCGAGACATTTGAGTCTAGTGCACTTACAATGCAGTTAAATGAAATTTGACGCAGCCAATAACAAAGAGCGCCATCTTGTGTTATCAGTCAGCGTTCATTTTGGTGCCGTTGGCACAGGCGCAGTAATTCCCGCTCACATTATCTCCATGAGCTTGGTACCGCGTTTGGGGTACCCAATGGGCTTCGTTTAGCCTTTGGAACGTCCGCTTACAGGGTTGTCCAATAATGCCGGGAAGAGCAGATTTACCGGCCGGAGAAACTTAATCTTGGGGCTTTTTGTAAGTGGAAGCCCCTAAATATTCTATAAGTACAGTCGAACCTCCGCTCACATGCAATTCCTACTAGCGGATACCAGCAGCACAAACACTGCATTTCTAACCTCTCTTTTTATGGTCCCACGACTGTTTGGTTATGGGAGGTTCTACATATATACTACATGTGTTGGACAAAGGGCGCTCTGCTTATTGAACTACAAAAAATCTATCAATTTGTTTCAGTTGGGCAGTGCTTTAAAGGAATATTTCGTGTGAGAGTTTGTGAGATCCACTGAACGAAGAGCAAAAAGGTGAGAAAACGAGAAAGATCAACCAGTTCAAATGTGAAACCCGACGACAGTCATCTTTTCCTATAACAAGTTACATTGTCATGGAAAATAGGGAATTGTTAGCGATGGATTTTGCTTTACACCGTCACTCATTTATTCGTTTGGTTGTTTTCTGAGCCGACGGCTAACACGGCAAATTACTTAATCCTTCTGCACTATTTCAACAAGTTAAAATAAACGCGCTCAGTCAGAGCGCCCATGGAAGAACGACTGCTAGGGAGCAAAAAGGCTTTTGTTTGCCGTTTGCCCAATGCATTTCTCAAGGTAAGCCTGTCAATTTAGCTGTTTTACTAAAGGAGACAACTGGTTCATGCTTCGCGTACGTACATCGAGTTATGGATGAACGCGGAAAGTTTGGAGAGCACGAGAGAAGCCTAAGAGCTGCTCGAGGCGTAGCTGAGAGCAACTGTAGCTTCTTACGCTTCTCTTGTGCTCTTCAAATTTCCCGCGTACATCCAGAAATCGACATACGAAAGCTAAGCATGAACTATCTCTTAATTAATGAACGCGCAGAGCGTACGTATGCTCATCGAGCCATTCGTTTTGAAGTGATCTCTCTCTCTCCGACGCTTCCCAAAGAGGGAAACAAGGTCATCGCTGCCGTTACCTGAATATGCAGAATGACTTTACGGTCCAAATTCACGGAGAACAGCGGCCACTGGTCGCCACCTTTGAGTTCACCCAGGGGTAAGCCCTAAAAAGGAATAACAAAAATCGGGGTGAAATCAGTTGCCAACAGCATGCCATCATCTTTGGACGCTGTGAAGGCGACTGACGCTATGAACACACTATACCGGCTAGCTTTACGTGAACAGCAACGGTACGGGACTGAACAAGTCGTTCACATACATCGAACATCTTGCCGGAGCGGTTGGCCGAGAGGGTTTGGTGAACTTAATCCCAATTCTCACTCCTGAATATTTACTTCCGTCTCACCGCAAGTTGCTCAAAGGCTTTCAGTCATCGCTCCTATTAATTCACTTCCGCTATGGACCAAATACCGTTCACCCGTTCAGAACGTATCCGATATGTGACGCTCCACTTTCGTAATCGGCGCTGCGCAGCTTCGCTCCGTTACAGAGTTCGCGCCAAAATCACCGTTCTTACGTGTGAACAGAAGCCCTATCTGGTATAATTTTCGTACCGGCGCAAAAGGTATCCGGTATAGTATGAACATGGCCTAAACGTAACGTTTATAAACCCTTTAAGTCCTAAGGGTGATCAGCATCAAATTTCTCCTTGTATTATCAATGCTTTGTAAAACAGAGTGGTCATGAGAATTAAGGATATGATCACACAAGATGAATTTGCCTGATATTTTATCAATTTCTCCCAACTACTTCTGTAGGAAATGAATAGGGGCAACACAAGAGGGTTAAATAAAGGATCACTTCCAGGTAATACATAAGTAGCCCGCATCACAGACGTCATTTAACCCTGGTCAATGGAGTTAAATTTCAACAGAAACGAAGGCTAGTTGATGAGGTAACGCTGTAAAAAACTTTCATCCTTCATATATTACTTAAGTCTAAGAAAAGTCAGGTTTGTAAATCTTGATTGTTCTTACCTCTGATGCATAACGAATGTTGTAAGGTAAGTAGTTATGCAAAACTGCCGGTGGATAAATGTGGAGAATGTAGTTAGGCGCGTGTTCCAAAGAGCCATGCACATAAGCGTATGACACTTGTTCACATTCAACCTAACAGAAACAGAAAATAAAAGGAAATGTAAGGAGATTAAGAACGTGTTCGACTGACTGTATTCCCGAATAAGAATAAATGAAAAAAACTCTAGAAATCATTGGTCAGGCATTCACTGCACTGCAATATTTAGAAATCTGCTTGAAATAAAATATTCTGATCTATGAAGCGTTTGAGTGGCCCAAGAATCACGGTAAAGGAGAATTGTAACAAAACCATTTTTGTATTCGTATTCCGGAATACAATCACGTGAACAAACCCTAAAGGAATTTTGCTACCGTGACTACATTTGCTCGCAACGAAAACCATGTATTTTCACAACGAAAACACAATGCAACAACAAACCCTACGTCTAGCCATAGCGAGCTTTATTGGTTGCTTGGTCAAACCAAAGGATGTAGGAGAATATCCATCTAGGCAAGATTTTTTCGGGACAGCCACTGACATGGCAAAGCCGAAGAACATGCAAGACGTTTAAAAAAATTAGACGCGTACTTTCAATGAATTGCAAGCAATTAAAGATAACAAGAGAAATGACATTGACACTTCCTAAAGGAAAGTTACTTCTCCTTGCAGCACTCTTGTTGTTGTTATTGTTGCCGCGCTCAATAAACTATCCATTTTTAATTTCAGTTCGTTTTCTCCACGATAAGAGGCATAGAACCAATTTAAACGCGTGACATTTATTCTTCATATCTCTGTTTAGTTTATACTGGTCAGTTACTATTGGTACACCAATAAAGGAACTCAGTTAAGCTGTAACAAATTGACTCCAGTTCAAAGACAACGTTTCACCCGCTAACAAAACAGATAAAAATAACGGTCCCTACCTGATAAGTGTCTTAAAGAGTAAAACAAAATAGGTATGCATTATTATTAGACTAGCAAACAAATTCAGACATTATACCTCAATATAAAATGGTGGTCCATCATTAGCTGGTGGAGGACACTGAACTGACGAATGCTTCGCTGCAGCCAACTTGTTCCAAAGCAGTGGTGTGGTAGTCTCGCCGTACCTTTAACGTCAAAATTAACGAGGAGTTATTTCTTTCCAATAGCCCCCCGGGGTTGCTCAAAGTAGAGTGAATGAGATATAACTTAAGGGATAGCGCGGAAACTGTATTTAGTTCTGAACGTGTTCAAAGCAAATTCAAGTACATTCTTTTTGCTTGCCATTAAATGTTTGGACTTTCTTAGATAATACAAATAAATTAGTCGAGAAAAATTGGTTTTGGAAGAAGAAAAAGAAAACACGAACACGGATTCAAATGTCACTCTCTGTTGGCGACAACGGGCCTTTGAATGACTAGATATTTGGTGGGGGTGGGGAGGGGGAAATGAAGAATACATACCTATTTCAGTTCTTCGCGCACGTCAATATAACATTACCTGACTGGTTCTCAGTAGCCTGTGAACAGGCCTTTAGTAGCGCGGGGTGGGGAGAGGGAAAAGCGACCCTTTCCCTTCCCATTCCTCGCTATTTTTCCCCAAACAGAGAGCCTGTTCACAGGCTAGGTTCTCAGTAGTCTCTGTTGATCGCATGCCTAGTTGCGCTCATGGTGTGACGGGAAGGAGGAAAGCAAGGGAGAGAGAAGCCCTCCTCTTCTCTTTTCCCTTCCATCAACTCCTTCTCTCGACGTACGCATCACAACAACGACTGGGACAAGTCAGTAACACCACGCTTAAACTAAGCCAAGTAGCTACGCACTGCGATTAGCTAATAGTTCCACGTCAGTTCTCGACTAACTCGAATTGATGCGACGCGTGTTTGCCTCGCTTGATGTAAATGGATAAATTCAGTGTCTACAACGTGTATTGTCTTTAAGTTTGATTATTTGGTTACGACATAGAATTAATATTCGCTTCGTGAGTCCGTTGAAATAATAAGGGGTGGCTATACGACCTGCGGATGAATATGGTAACCAAAAGCTGACCTTTCAAACCCTGTACTAATGCGAGGATCGTAACAAACTTGAATTTAAGTTTTCGCTTGCCTACAGCTATTGCTTGTTTGTTTCAGTTAATAAGTTATTAACAAGATGAATTGCTTGTACATTTCCCTTTGGACAGGGGAGCTTAACCGTTACTTGCCAGTATAATTAGTAACTATAATTAACAATTATCCCACCAGTGCGCGTTGGATATGAGATGCATATGGAAAGAGCCAACGAGGTGCATAGCGTGGAGTTGAGTATAACCATCTCATATCCAACAAACACGAACGGAATTGAATTTTTTTTATTAAAAACGCTCACAAAATATCGAGAATTCTTCCCGACTTTAATTGTAGAAACAACCGATTTCAAGCTTTTTTTAATTTCTGAGCAGACGCGTACAGTTACCATATTTGAAAAGCATGGTATAATGGCTCATATACCATGATGGCTAAGCCAATCAGCGTTCAAGAATTGTATTATCCAATGATTCAGTTTTTATTAATAATGATAATGTATACCAACCCAAAGCCTGCAGGTTTGAGGTACAAAGCAGCTTTGTGCGCCAGAATGAGAGGGACACTGTAGGTACTGGCAGGTTGAACTGTTGTGATGCGAGCAAATTGATCTTCTTTTTGGCACAACAGATCCATCAGGATCGGAAAGTGGTTGCTGATCTGTTGGAAGAAAGAGGTAATTCATTAACGAGACCGCAAATAAGAAACAATTGGATGAAGTTTATGCACGAAAGTGAGACTTGCTGAGGCCGAATATCACAAACCTAGGCCTTGATGATTCTCTCTATCGTGCGAAACACGAATCTAATAATTGTTTATTATGTTTGACTATTACGATCAAGGAACTTCGCGCGCTACATCAACTGACTTGTGAGAAACTTTATTTGGACGCTCGAGCTATCTTGCAACATAATGGTTGCAGCGTAGTCCAAGAGTTTTCAGCAAAATTTCTTTCAGAAAGGAGTTTCATGGCTTAACATTGATTGAACCCAGACCGATTATGATAGACCTATATAAAAACTTCTTGAAAAGACTTTTTTTGCCGGTTTAAAACTGTTATAAACTTTGACTCTTTGAAATAAATAAAAAAAAACCAGCACTGAAACAGAGTTATACGCTTTCGGGTCATTTACGCCTCAATTTAGGAAGGGATTTATTAAAGGATTAAGTTCACTGAAGCGCGGAAGGTTTTTAGTAAGATGCCTATCTTTCAAAGGGAAATTCCCAAGAACGGTCGCAGTAACAATAGGGCGTAAACATTTGTCAAGTTTTTGTTGGCTAAAATCTGCGAAAGGGACTTAGGGCCCGTTTACATGGAGCTGGGGGACCTTGGGTAGGTGAGGTAACCCGTTTGGGTGGGTAACCCGCCTGCCCATATGACAGGGAACTTAAGCAACGACGACGGCGACGGCAACGAGAACGGCAAAAAAGCAATAGTTTTAGATTTGCAAAACAACAACTTTGCACGTGCAGCACGTGCCTATTTTCACGTTTTGTAGAGGACGTGAACACAAGACAACGACTTTGTTTTTCTTTTCCTGAACTTTAATACAGTCCTTTAGAATTCAACTCCAAAAATATTCCCCCACATCTGATGAACAGAACGAGATGGAATAAGCACGATAAAGTTAAAACAGCGCGAACACACTTTTTAACTGACTTTTAACGTGGCCGTCGTTCTTGCTTAAGCTCCCTGATCTCTTATATGGTCGTCCCACCTATCATGTAAACGTGATCAAATTAAAGGTCAGGGCCGAGTTGTTCAAACCTGGATTAAGATAACCCAGGGTTAATGCGAGATTTGAATTCAGATATGAAAGCTTAAAAAGCATTTCAGTTTTAATTCTTTTTGTCTACAAGTTGATGATTGGAAGCTCTAAAAATAACAGAGAAAATTATCGGAGAAAATGCTTTCTAACACAAGAAAAAGAAACCCGAGTTAAATTTAACCCCGGATTAAGCGCTTATCGGCCTTCGAACAACTGGGCCCCGTCTACATGGAGACGGGGGACCCAAGGTAGGTGAGGTAACTCGATTAGGTGGGGCAACCCACCTGTCCATATAATCTCTCATTTTAATGTGATCACGTTTACATGATAGGTGGGGTGACCCGCCACGTTACCTCACCTATCTGGGGTCCTCCACGTAAACAGGCCCTTAAATGAGAGATTTCATTGACAGGCGGGTTACATCACCTACCTGTGGTAGGTGAGAGGCAACACGCCCTTACTCTACTGAGTTTTAGATCCTAAATACTGACTGACCTGTAGAGGCGATCTAACGGTCACTATTCTCGGCCCTTCTCCAGTCTCGACTGAAACAACAACTGACGCAATGATCCCTGCAAGAAGCTAGAGTGGAAGGCACACATTAGTGCAGTGTATACAACAGCGTTGTTTACGAACAAAAAAACTGTCAAGTGTACGTTAAAACAATTAGTAGCCTTGAAAACAAAAAAAAACAGTCTATATCGCCGGCAGGGTTTTCTTTATAAAGCATAGAAAACTGGCAGGACGTTTCATTCGAACACACATAAGCACGGAAAATTATTCTCAATGCCTGTGACTTCTACTCGAGATGACGTCATTTTTTTAAAAAAAAAAGTTTCATAAAGAAACCCGTTACCACTTTTAAAAAGCTTTCTGGGTAAATCAAACCAGCAAACAGGCAATGTCACATACCAAATAGGCCGAGAGAAGCGTTAAAGCTACATTTTGGAAACGTAGACGACTTCCATTTTTTCTCGATCCAAAAGGGTACCTAAGACTTACGTGTAATGAGAAACCAGAACCAGTAAAACGTGACCCTGCAGGCGATCCAGGCAAATTTCAGATCCAAAAACATAACGTGAAACAAAACATTGTGGAAAATGATAGTGAAAATAAAATAAAAATAAACATCGAGCATTGATCACAAATAAAAAAAACACTGTGCAAACGAAATGATGAAGTGGCTGTAGCGTACTGCATTGTGTTTATGTGCAAACTACAATTTATAACAATCCTGAAACGAAGACAAGCAAGCAAAGTCAGAGACAACAGGAAGACAGGAGATGAGGAAAACGCTCTTCCTTACAAAAATTCGCTTCTCGAGATTTATTTGATTTTACGCTTACTCATCCATGTCATTTAACAGTTAAGCTTCGACTGACAAAGACGGCTCGCTAGTTATTTAGGTACTTGCCCATCACCTCATCGGGGTGAAGATCCGTTACCAGTACCATTTCATTTATGGTAGTCATTTCAGGCATTAATACGATGGTTTCTATCAACTGAAATATAAGAATGGTAAGGACTAAGCATGCATGACTGTTCACTGGTGAAGTGGGAAAGGTTATTTTTTTCAAACGTTAATCGATCAGTTCACGAGGTTATACCAAGAGGTTGATGTTTTTTGGGCGCCTTTTAACATCTACTAAAACACATTTGGACATTTTAGCTCCTGTTTTTATTGCCAAGATTTGAGAATTTCAAATCTAACTGAACTCTTAAAAACTAGTAACACACGCTTATCTACAACGATAATATAAATTTTCCTGCCCAAATCATCAGAAGCTTAGAGGTAAATCAAACATTAGCAAGCGAAGGGAAAAGACGAAAGACTGAAATGTTTCAAGACAGCCTTGAAATCTAATGAACCACGGCTGAAGTTTAAACATAAAGGCCATTTTTAAACTAGGAGCTTCGATGGTACCATAACATATATGTAGCGTTTAAAAGAGGTAGTCACTTAGAAGTCTTATACCGAATTTAAATAGGTATTGAGCCGTTTAGTGTCATAAAGTTGTCCGGGAATTGATTAAAAAGGCAAAATTATTTTTTAAACCGTTTCTTTACTAATTCATTAGGCTGAAGTTTGAAGGCCATTTTTAAACTAGAACTTCGATGGTAAGATAACATGTATGCCGCGTTTAAAAAAGTTAGTCAATTAGAAGTCTTATACCTAATTTAAATGGGTATTGTAGCTGTCTAGTGTCACAGTTGTCCGGGAATTTATTAAAAAGGAAAAACCAATTTTTACACAGTTTCTTTAATAATTCCGCACTAATAATTCATCCGTAAGCAAAAATATGTTTTCTCAAAGCAAAGTCGTTCTTTAAGCTGGCAGTGGCCGCTACACTTGGCCACTCCCCGTTTTATGAAACAATTCACTTACCAGCAAACTTTCAAAACGTTCAAGATTTTCTTACTTCAAAAGTTAAAAATTTTGTCTTCCAAGAGCACATTTTAGGGTCAATAACAAAATACAGAAAGAAAAAGTACGAAGAACTAAGACCTCTTACTAGCCCCGGATGTAGAGGTCTTGCATACTTTGAAACAATTTTAACCAAGTTTCTTTTGTCCCAGTCTTATCTTTTGAGCATCAAACAGCAGGTGCAAAAACCTTATGTTCTAAAATGATCGTTTTACCTTTTTTGGGATGATGTTGTGCAAAACAACTCGTGCTTGCTTAACAGAAATTGTCTTCAGCTCATGATAACCTTGCACCTAATGAAAAAAATAAAAACAAAAGCAAAAACAAAACAAATCAGACAGTTTTGAACACTTTCGGGATTCGCGCAAAGAACAATTCTATGAAAGAAGATCATCGCAGCTATAGACGCAACGTTTGCAGTTGCGAAAAGAAAGCCTGAAAAAAAATCAGGCTTGTACGGGATTCGAACCCTTCACCTCTGTGATATTACTGATGCAGCGCTCTATCAATTGAGCTAACAAGCCAACTGGGAGCAGGTCGATTCAACAAAATTCTTCACCCTGCAGTTCTCATGTATGATTTTCATATGTTCATAACTTCAAGAACAATTCTGTCCAATTGCTATCCTCACATGAGTAGGAGGCTAAAAGGGATTACTGCCAGAAGTCTCTATACTCAGCAGAAAATTGATTTACACTCAACTGCCATTGACCCTTTGGAATTACGACATTTGAATGGTATCTTAACCTGGCTTTATTTACTTTTAATTGACAGAATGAAATTGGAAGTTTCCGGCTCTTAAGAAAGGTAAGTCTCACCTCAATACCAATGCTGGGTCCCACTCCAGAAGCACTACTCCCTCTATCTATTCTACTGCTTCTTTTATCTAATCCTTTTCCAAATCGAAGAGACAAGCTCTGCCCAGTTGGAATGACAACCATCCCATCTGCACCAAGACCTGCAGGACTCTGGGGAAAAAAAAGGACGCATGTAGCCAATTAGCTCATTAGGTTAAAGCTAAGAATCCTACCGAACCATCAGGATTCAATGGGACACTTAAAACAACAACAACAATATTCCCTCTAATGTGTAGCTCTCTTTTTAGAATGGAACAATCACATGCAGAGTTCGAGCAGACAGCCTACGCTAAAATAGCAACCCTTAAACTAACCTAAATTCGAATTAGGTTCCTGGACCCGTATAGAACAAAGCTTCTCAACTCAACTCTTGCCGACATAAGCACTGCAGTGTGATATGTAAAATGAACGAGTGTGAAAGGTTCTCCAAACGTATTGAACATACTGCTCAGTTCCCTATTTTTTCGTCGACCGGTGATATATAGCGTTTACCGTTACCAGCGGCCATCTTGGTTTGAAATGTCTCGAGGGGGGGCTCGGGGATTACAGCAGTGACAGGAGGGAGGAGAGAAAAATACCCAACCGTCCCCCGCCCCCTAAGTAATTTTGATACTCATCCCCTAGGTTAGGTGCTCGATCCCCACAATTTTGCGAAGGGCCGAGGACTGTGAACAGTCTATGAAAACAAAAGTCACTCGAATAGTACCGACGTATAATTACTGACGCACTACTTAAGCCTGCATTCAAATGGTACCTCGAAGACAAACAGTCGATGCGAAACGAAATTCCACTCTTCCCCTGCAAAGTGACGTGACTTTAAGAAAGGGTGCATACCTGAAATTTATTTCCAGGGCGTATTTTAATCTCCATACCAAGCTAGAGAGAAATGAAAAGAAATATTGTTTAAAAGATCACTTAAATGATTTACATAACGTTTCCAAAACAGCTTCCAAACCTCATTCCATATCTGATAGGGAGGAATATCTTCCAAAGCTACTTCTCCCGTGCCTTGCAAACTTACAGCTTCTTTAAAAGCCTAGAGATATGAAATGTGGAGTTAACATTGTGTAAAGAAGGGCGTTTATTACAACACCAATGCAACGCAGGGAACATACTGATAAAAAATCTGGTCACGAACCATCCGATAGCACAGTTTTGGGAGAATATCGCTAGTCATGGAAAACGGTACAATATGGCCTCAATTCAAAACCCAACTTAACTCATTCTCACGTTAGATACGCCGTAAGCGGCTTAAGGTATGGTAAATTGAGCAATATAGATATGCAAATTGTTTTACAACATTGCTGCTACACGAGCTGAATAGCGATGTTACGGGTTTTACCACCTACGAATCAAACCTGCCTACACTTGCAACAAATCAGGTTGTTGCAGGTTGCGAAAATGTGCTTCAGAAAATAGCGAGCAGTTATACTTTTTTTGCAACAAAATCTGTATATGTTGCGCGTTTGTCGGCCCAAGCCCAACTTGTTTTTCAAAAAATGACGTAACTCCCGGGTATGGCGTGACCCCCGCGTAACATAATTTAATCCAATCAGAAGTTAGTATTCAGGCAACTTGCAAAAACCTGATTTGTTGCAAGACAGGTTCAAGCGACAATTCGATCTATAAGACTTTGTCAAAGTTGCAGCATGGCCAATATACTTACCGCTCCAAGCTTTGTAAAAACATCCAGGCATGTTTTTGTCACAGTCATTTCCAAGACATCCCTGGATTTCACGGCCAGTGTCATGGCTGCTTCGGAATTATCTTCCAAACTGGAGTCACTATTGTCACCATTTGCCATAGAAAGCTGATGGTAAGAAAGGAAACGAAACAAAAAATACAAAGATTAGATCTTACTGCCAAGAAACGTTCAGACCTATAAAGTTAACAGTTTAAATGCATAAGTCGCAGTACAATGGTATTTGTAAGTGTTGTAAAAGGCGATTAGCTGTGCAGGTTGCAGGAACTCTCTTGTGGTCACCGACATTCAACAACCACTTAAAATCATTGTCCTCAGGTTTACCCTAAACGCGACACTAGGGTTAATGTTAAGATGCATTTCCAATGCCGTGTAATTTTTACTTGCCTACGCACGTAAATTTTACGCCCATAAATAAAATAGCGGCAATGCATAAAAGGTCGTTCGTGAACACAAAAGTTGTTAAACGTCTACGCACGACCTTTTTATACATTGCCTCTATTTTTTTCACGCACGTTAACACGTAACACGTAAATAAAATAGACTAGGTCGGTGTCGAATAGCGCTATGAAACTGCTTTTGAAGGCGCTAACACTTATTGTCACTGGCCATACATTACGAGATTGCGCGGGACACTGGGTCAAAACTCGTCCCAAACAACACCAACAGCCAGGGAGGATGGAAGAAATTCTGGACATAAGAGGTAAAGATTATCTATTCATTAAACATGGACTGGTGGTGGTCGACTCAGGCACTTAGAGCCAGCTGTGATACCACAGTTTGAAAAGTGTGGAAAGAAAGTCAAAAAACTATTTTCTGCTTATTTAGTATGAAGTTTCCTTCCGACCGAGTTAGCTTTTCCTTTCAGTGCTGACTCTCTTTCCAGGTCTGATCACTGTGCCCTTGATGAAAATGACAGACATTGTAAGCAGACAATTTAACTTTTAAATTTCCATCAGTCTACGTTCCTGTTTACATTAGTGAGCTCACTCGAACTTAATAGCAGTGAACCGTAGTTATTTCTCAATTTAGTTTTTGTGTCATCGCTAAATGAGTCTTTTACCACTTACTTAATACTACACATTTATTTTAAATCTAACGTATTTGCGCTTATTTGTCCCGCAGCTGCATGTAGACTACGCTCAATGAACTAACGTGTGGTTTTTGAACTACTGGCATAAATTTCCATCTAAAAGGCCTTTCCTTTTCGGGGTTTTCTTCGCTTCTTGTAACAACTGCTTTTCTTACCTCAAAATTAAGTTCCCAGTGACGATAGACCTGCTTATCATCTTCCACTGGTTCTATCATAGGCTCCCATTCAGACACATTCTCATTAAAATAGTTACCGGTAAGGCCTACTCCCGCGCGGATATTCAGCTGATGAGAGAATGCAGAGGTATACATTAAACGAAGAAGAGAAGCACAATCCATACAATTATATCTTAACAATCTAGTTCTTCTCCGTCTAGCTTAACCTTTTAATGAAAGACGTATTTCATTCTAGGCGGTAGCAGTTTGTCTTTCTTCTTTGGAAATCGATATCCCCTTTCTCCCCCAAACCAACACGAAAAATACATACACAAATTTTAAAAATGCACTGGAACCACCTTAACGCGGATGTAGAATACAGCACACAATTCTCCACTTAAAAAAACGAGAGGGAAACTGGGTTCGATTTCGCTTTTGCAAAGACTTCTGGCATCGTTATTGGGGACGCGCCATTCACTCATTGGCCAATTTGTTTTCCCTGTTCCTAGTAAATGTCCCAAAAGTCTTTGCCAAAGTTAACTTGGCCCAGTTTTCTCGTTTCTACAGTGGTAAATGCGCACGTGACTTACCGCTGAAGACCAATTCCTTAATTCTCCTTGTATTGATCCATCAACTGACAATAGTGGAATAACCTGGCCACTAAACATACCCTCCAGTTTGACATCGAATCCCTCCATTTCGAACACCAACTGACAGAACGAAATAAAAGAAAGTAAAAGATTACCTCTGTGTTTGGAGACGAAAGGAAATGGTAGTTGATAGGTTTCCTTGCACTCCAAAGAGTGACGCAAATAAAATTCAAGTAGCAAAATACCATCAAAGAGGTTTTACTGGAATGGTCCATCCATAAAATTTCATTAACAGGCTCAAAAGTTAGGACTTCATACTAAATAAATATTACCATGTGAAAGTACTGCTGAAGCGGTTGTAACTAAATGGTCAAACCATAGGATTTTACGAAAAAACTCTAAAGTTACAGCCACGCCAGATCAAGTGTACCCCCATAGATTGTACAGGCTCGTGTGTATACTGAGACAAATCAAGTCACTCGTGGGATATTTTACGCTATACCAGTCGAACGCATCGCATAACTATTATGTACAGACTCCTAAGTTAAGACTACATACTAAATAATAACGCCATGAAAGTTTAAAAAAAACCCGCTTGACTTGAAAACCAATATATTTCGCACAAAACTACTAACTGAAGACACTATTTTTACGTCTCCTACTGAAGACAGGACTGCCATTTTACGTGGTCATCCGAACCAAGCAAAGGTTATGCAGGTGATTGACCTACGACCTCCCACTCCGCATTTAAGCACTCTATCGACTGAGCTAGTCCTGTCGCGGTTACTGCTTAAGAAGTTATATTTCTAGGTCACAACACCAAGTTTTAACCGCAGGCTCAAAAGTTAAGAAACTGGATTTGCTGTTTTCATAGCTGACTCATGGCAGGGCTAAAAAAAAGATTGAATTCCAGCTTATCCTTTGCACAAGAAGCTGTTACATTTTGCTTGCCCAAGGCAATTGCTTTCTTGTCATAACTACTGATTTAGTTACCAAATGGCTTGCTCGGACCATTTCCCGTTGGAATGAGGTCAAAAAGTTACTTGCCCAACAAGAAAATCTACTTGACCCGGACGACCAGACGGGACTTTTTTTTTCGAGTTCTGCTCTGAGAGTAAAGGATATCAGATCATAGACGTGAACATCTCACTTACCAGCTCTGCCTTGTCGCCTCCAGCCTCGTTCGCATTGATGTGGTCCGGGGATTTCTCTTCCCCTAAAGAACAAAATAAGCCACTTTTGTTAAATAATTGATCTATTCACTACTTCTCAAGTTGACCTGAAGGCCTTTCGCTTGTCACAGTTCTCCATAAATGTTGGGAGGTCATCCTTTATTCCCATACAGTCAGTCAAAAAGTAAGGTCTCTTATGGAGAAAATCTGGCCAGCCCGGTTAGACGGATCATCCTCACAGCCGATTAAACTTTAGCGAGCATTTTTTATGAGACCGAGGCAACAGCGTTCGCGCATGCTCTAATTGTCTAAAACAGCTCTCGCGCATGCTCTGATTGTCTCGCCTTGACTGAGTTAAGCCGGCTGGGCGAACCAAAGTGTTGATATGAGGAAAAGTCTGCCAGGCTCAGTAGGAGGGGGACCCTGCCAGGGTCACCGTTCTAGCCGGGCCAACTATTTGTTTCGCATGTAATGTCATGTAAACGGTTCTCCCCTTTTTGTAAGGAAATGTATGAAAGTCGGCTCGCCCCAGGGTAGCTCGGATAGGCGGGTAATCCCTCTACAAGGGACATGTTTTCTCCATTTAAACGGGGCCTAAATGCCCCTGAGATTTGCTACAAGGAGATCAAGTTAAATCAACTACTGCTTGAAAGCGGAAAGTTTGTTTATGTCTGTTGGTATTATGGATAAAGCATGGGAGAATTATAAAATCCTACGTTGAAGACTGGAGACTATTTTTAAAACAGAACAAAAAAACCATCCTGAAAGCAGCTTACACAAATAAAAGGTCATAAAGTTTACAATTATCCACAACAGCAATCACGGCTGAGAAAGTAGTTTTCAGTCCAACCGATAAAGTTAATCCATCGGTTGTACTTATGGGTCATGTAGCAGCTGCTCGGAAGAGAAGTCACCAATGGTGCGTTTCCCTTACCCAAAACAATACTAAAACAATTAGAAGAATGATGTTTAAAGCACTTTCATGAAAATAACTCCACAACAAAGCCTGGGTACGAGAGGTTTTTCCTGGCGTGCGGCGCGATGCTTCGGGATGAAGGCCGACGCAACGAGCGGCACTATAGAACCTTGACGGAAACCAGAAACGCTGGATGAAAAGTCTCTGCTAAACAGGGTACAACAGAAAAGAAATACAAGGAAATAGTCAAAGAGTGAAAGCACACGACAAGATTACCTTCAATTTGAACCTCTTTGGGAAGCAGTCTCAGATGATAAAGCGAGTCCCAGGTCTCATCTCCATCGTCAAGCTTCACATGATATCTCGGTTCACTAGCATCAGAAGCATCCACTTCCATGACAGTAGAACTGTAATAGCGTTGCATGTTCTTAAACTTTGCTATCACTCTTGTGCCACGCTTAATATCAGCAGCCTTTGGTGGAACATCAGGGATGACCTTTCGGGATGCATCCTTTAACTCATACAGAAATTTGTCTCCATCGTAGAGGTCAACATGCAGTTTGGTTCCCTTGTATGAAACAAATCCCTTATAGTACCTTATTTTGGACGTGTGTGCCCACACGACAGTGCCAACTGCTAACACCCCTTCGGGAACTAAAGAAACAATATAACATACTTTTGTAAGAAAAGGGCAGCTGCTGCAGTTTAATACATTCGCAAAGAATGTATTTCCTATATATTTTATACAAAGAATTTGTAATAAACTCTCAAGAACCCCTTGGAACACAACGAGATCGCCCAATGGAGCTACCCCCTAACCTTATCTAAGTCACGTGAAGAGACTTTCACTATTCGGGAGGTTAGGCAATCACGATGGGAACGGCAGTGAAAAAGTCAGTTTTTTAATGTACGCGGATTCTCCTTCAAAAAGCCTAATTTCCATTCAATCGGCCGGATCTTCTTAAAATGCGTTCAGTCGATCGAGACAATCATACAATGAATGAAGGAACCGCTGATTCAACATTAAGTTCGAGACGATTGAAAGATCGCTGTCCCTTGAATGCAACTGAGATTATTTGGAAGGAAACTGGACCCCCCTTAAGGATTTCGCCTTCAGTGCATTGTTTTACGAAAAAGCGGCAACCATTTTTACTAGATCAGCGCCTCTTAAAAGGACTAATGGTGTCTTAAAAAAGAGGAGATTGCAACGGAGTACAGAAAACAAACTTGACAAGTGTTGGGCTAAACAAGAATCCTTTAAATAAACTCAGTTAAAATAATCAAGCTACGTTGCGTTGTGTTTGATTGAATGCCCAGACTGGGTCACTCATAAAGAGATACACTCCCAAATCGTATTTCAAGGAGTCTCCTTCAGTTGTCGCTTTTTAAAAATTGAGAGTTCTTAAAGGGGTTATGATCCCACGCCATTTAGTATCTTTCCACAAAGCGAGACCGTGTCTTCGCATCACTAAAATTCCAAAAATAATGGTCCATTTTTGTTTATAAGAAATACATTTAGGCAGGGATGGCAAGGATAGACAGGGATTTAAAATTGAAAAAACTGGCCCAAAGTTTTTGAAGATTTAAAGCTATGTCTGCCAAAATTACCAAAAGATTATTACGGTATTATTGCTTCCTGATGAAATTTGTTCGATATCCTCTTCATAACTCTACACGAGCATTTTATGTATGTGTTAAGGTACTAAGTAATGACTTCAGCACAGAATTGACCTAAAACAGTAATATCTTAGTGACATAACTCCTTTAACAAAGAAGGTGACCTCCATGCCAGAGAAACGATCAAAATACAGCGGAATTATTTCTTAACATAAAAAGTCATACCCTTTGGATTTCTTGTTCTCAGAATGCGGATTCTGTTGAGGCTAAAGACCCAGGTGTCGCCTCCACTAATGAACCTAACACGATACATGTCGTTTCCTGTCTCTTTCAAATGTCTTATTTCAGCAATGTTCCCAGCCTCCCAACTGAAGCCGTCAAAGGAGGCAATAACAGTAGTTCCAATTTTCAGAGCTGATGGATCAGGTGTAACGTCGAGTACAACCGCAGCGCTGTCATTTGTATCTACCGTTTGCACCTCAGATTCACCATAGATTCGCACTTGCAACTTGCTGTACGTTTTGCTGCTTACAAATCCTTTTTGGTACATGTTGTCTTTGGATCTGACAAACACGATACTCGATACGGCGACTTCTCCTTTTGGCACTACAGAAAAAAAGAGAAAGGTAGATATGTTCGACTTGAGTATGAAGTCGTTTTCATTCAGTGGTTAAATAACTCATGTAACAGTCATTTGACAGAGGCTGCAATCGTGGACTGTCCTTGGGACAGTGAAGCAACATTCGTTAATACCTATACTTTCAAGGATACCTTTATAACACAGCGTTATCTTTTTTACAATTGCTCTGTACTTCCACCCTTCCTCCACCCTATACAAAGTTGAAACTCAGGAAAAAAATACGGATAGACGGGTTTAATGCTGTACGAAGGACGGGCATGAGTACTTTTTTTTTTTAAATCCCTATAAACCCAAATTTGTCCCAAGACAGGTGTCCATGCTTGTAGCCATTCGAGTGGCGAGCGAGAGAACCGCACGGGGGCGAGCAACGAGGCTAATTATCATTAATATGCTATCACGTAACAGACTAAGTCGGTATAAAATTAAATGATGGCGTTTTTGCTTCAAAGTTTCGACTTCCCGGCCCTGAAAAATGAAATTCCCTAATTTTTCATTGACCTTGAAGATTATTTCTCCCTGACCTGACCTGTGGCAGCCATGTTTTAAGGTCATTCCTCTGAAATAGAACATGCAGTGAGAGCTAAAGCCAAGCTACAAGGTCTATTACCTCCCGGCGCAATAGTAGTAAGGACGCGAATCTTTTCCTCTGTGTTCCAATGTTCGACTCCATCCCAAAAGTCAACCAGATAAAATCGTTCTCCCTTTTCCTCTTTTGTCTGCACAATTTTTCCTTCTACAAAGGATGTTTCCTTGGGACGTTTGGCGACCACTACTGCACCAATGACAAGATCTTTGGGTCGAGGATCTTTGTCAACGACAACAGCAGCGATGTCATTAGTGTCATAGAACATAGGGAAGCCCCACGTATCACATACAACGAAAAGGAAAGTCTCTTGCGACGAAAGGACATATCCAGCATCGTAGTTATGAAGGTTTGTGATAGATCTGGCTAGAACACGTCTTCCAGGGACAATCTGACCTTCTGGAACTAAATTATAGCAAGTAAACTTAATAAATAGCTGGGAGTTTCGCAGAACACCTCACACATTCATAGACCTTTTTAGCTTGTATGTTTTGTTTTCCGATCATTTCAGACCACTTGATGGTACGCCAGATAACTGTTTCTTCGAAATGTCCCCTTATGCACGTGCATGCACGTGCATATGTATGCATAATTACTGAAAAGACAAAAGGCAAATTCCCTGGAGAGCATCACGTGGTCTGAATTGGGAAAACAAAACTTACCAGCTAAAAAGGTCTATTGCCTAGTTTGTGTGCACGTCATATCTAGCAAACATTCTGAACGCTGTCATGTAATGACTTTTAGAGCATATGAATGATGATACTGATAATTGTAACAATAACAATTAAAATTGTTACTTATAAAGCGCAAAATACGGTCTTGTAGAGGGGTAACTCCCTGTGCAACACTGTGAAAGCGTCTGATGAAAGCGTCTGGTGTTTCAGCAAAGTCTGACGTGCATTGTAGATCCCAAAATTAAAATCGCCTTAAGTAGCCGCTACTTTCAACTTGTAGGGTACGTGAAAGTTTATCGTCATAAACAAAACTGCCTACCTGGCGATAAATACCATCTGTCTTCTGTAGTAATTGGCTTTTCGTTCCACAGTTCCAGTGTATCTTCTGTTGATTTTGTTTTGTCCTCTTCACTCTGAAAATGGTTTTTAGACCCTCTCATAATTATTCAATTAAAAATGAATACGGGAGGACCTAGCTTCTTGTACAGGTACGTTTGCCATGAGTAAGTGCTGAAGTAGAAAACTGATCTCGAATTGGCCTAACATGATCGATTTTACTCACTCACACGATCGGTGCCACCTTATGTCACACTCGTAACCAGAGCTGGTTTCTTTAAGCTGTCTCTCCTTGCTCCTCGCCGCTAGGGACGTTTCGCCCTCCTGGCGAAACGTCCCAAGCGGCGGGGAGCGAAGTTCGGCTGTTTTCGCAGGCTAGACTTAACATAGTTCGAGGTAAGAATGTTTCGGCTTGTTTTAAAAGTACATTATGAATTATTTGGAATGAAAAATAAAACGATTATTGGATTCTCAAAAGGTGTTATCCGCCTCGGCCTCACTCCGCGATCTGCATAATTCTTCAGATCATACTCAGCCTCAATAATTGCTAAGCATCTTTATGCTGCCAAATATTGCAAATGTAGAAATTCTCCTTACAAGTAAGGATATCTTGACTTTGGAAATAATCCGAGTGACCTATAAATTAAGTAACTATTAAATCGGCTTTTATTTGTAAAGGAGAATTACGCAGATAGCGACATCCCACGGTCTTATCCACCAGTCCCCAGTTGCTCAAAAGGAGAATAACGCTATCCACTTGATAAATATCTATCTGCTGGATACTAATACAACTGGATTGCCTAAAACCTATCCTCTAGATTACGATTTATCCGGTGGATAGCGCTATCCAACGTTTAAACATCAGGGACTAGTTGCAAAATGTTAGAGACCTTAAGATTCGAGGAGGAGAACGCATAACTACGCGTTCGAGATTAGACTTAAAAGTGTTATCGCGTATTTTCACAAAATAAACGTCCCGGAAAAGTTCACTGTACTTTTTTTCACCCAGAAAATTTAGCACTGTTATCTTTATTGAAGGTGTTTTAGCCCTCTCTTCATCCTAAAATGATAAACTGAAACTTCTAAGATTTGATAACTTGTTTCCGCCACTACGACATTCTCGCTAACTCTTAATAGAAAGACGAAGACTATCTCTTTTTCCCGCCAGAATGACGATGGTTCATGCGCGCGCACTACATTACTTAGTATTGAGAAAATTTCGTTCTCGTCGACGTCCTCGTTTTAGAATGTAAAGGTTTCTAGGTCTCTATTCTATTTCACAAAGTACCTTAGCAGGAGCCAGTGACATGAGACATGCTGTCAAGGTCTTGATGGTAGGTGGTGATACGTGTACATATGCCATTCCAGTAGACACGTCAATTTTCATGTTAGAACCTTCAGGGACAGAGCTCAGCAGGGAAATATGAGATAACTGAAGAACCTGGACAAGAAATGCAAACATTTATTCGTAAACGGATGGCGCCTCCAGATACGCTTGCAGTTTTTGCACAGTCTTGATTTAACAGAAAAAGAGGATACAGGAGGGGCCTACGAAAATTTGGAAGGAAAATTTGGGGTATCCAAGCATTTTTCAGGGATAAAAAAGATTGAAAAAAAAACTGTTTTAAAAGAAAAACCTTTCTCGGAACCAAGCCTGCGAGTGCAGCCGCCTTTCACTCGCTCGCCGTACTAAGTAAAGGGGCGACGAGAGGCGGCTGTACTGAGATTCCCCGATCGGCTTTTCGGGATCCGGGATCTGCCAGGATTCGGGTATGTTAAAGCAAAACGGGGGCGAGATTCGGGATTGAAAGTATGCGCGGGATCTGGGATGCAAATAATAGCCATCGGGATTACGAGATTGAGCGAAAACATGGGTCGGGATGACCCGATTGAAGAACCCTATTGGGGACCTTCTGTATCCACAGGCTAGTCGGAACCAGACATGAAAAATATACGGAGGAGGACATTCACAAGTCAAGTTAAAAAGGTTTTACACGACTTGAAATCAGCCTTTACCCTTGACGAGGTTGTTTTTCTTCTTTCCTTATCAAACGCTGCTGACAAAATGACCAAATCTGACACAGATCCTGACATCTTCTGCTGACCATGCCCTTGAACAAAGCGGAAATCAACAGCGTTCTGCAACGGGCAAAGAATAGGACACAAGTTGTTAAACCTCTGACACATGAGGCGTTGCTGCAGCCCTCAAGACGATATCTGGGATGCATTTAGGCGAAATTTGTATAGGTAATAGCATGATTAGTAGTGATATTTGGCATAAATACTAAGAGTAATATTTCAGAATTGTTATACGTAATTTCACTCGCCTAACGGCTCGTGAAATTTGAGACAATTTTGAAATATCGCGAGTGGTATTTATGCCAAATATCACGTACAAATCATGCTATTATTTGTTTATACTACTACCCGCACAAGGTTTGTAATTTTCACATGTAGGTATTTCAAATTTAGCTGAAATATCACTGCTGTAAGCCAATCAAATTGCGGAAATTTCTCATATAGTAGTATAAAACTAGAAATACGTTGTTAGCAAAAACTTCGCAAAGCTGTAAAGGGCCAGCAGTAAGAATAAGGAAGTTTCCTATAAAACAGAATTGAAAGGGCTCATGTCCTATTTTGCACATATGCGGTAACCGTTCAACAGTAGAGGGAACCACTTACCTTCAAAATCAAAGCATTAGTGTCCTTGTCCCTTGCATCTGCCAAAAGAACAATTTCTGGGTCTTTGATAGAGATTAGAACTGTGATTTGCGGAGGTTCTTCGTCAACGGCCTCCACTGTTGCAGGTGTTTGTTTAGTGACGGCCTGAGAGGACTGTTGAATGGTAGCGGGTGTGGCACTTGTTGCTTCATCAGTTGTCAACGCCGACGTAAACACGTTGGATAAAACCAGCAGATACTCCAAGTTTACAATCACATGGAAACTCTGAACTTGCATCACGACTAAAAATGAATAATAACCTCAATACTTCCCATTCAAAACTGATTAATACTTCTACTTAAGTGCTCACAGGCGCAAACAAGAGGTTTCTTTGCCCGTTAAAATTCACCAAAAACTAAGTGAGGTTGGGATTCTCTCTCCATCTCTCAGCAAGCGTTATCTGTTGTTCAGCATTCGCCATGACGGCACTCCAGAGCTCGAAACTTCAGCTTTTTAATCTTTTTGTAATAGTACATTTTATTTATTAACTCTGTTGACTAGACTGAATTATTGATGTCATCTGTTGTGACTAAGTGGTTGGATTAACTGCCCAGAGTAATCAATCATTATTTTTAAAACACGCCATCAAACAAAAGCAAAAATGAAAAAAAAGTACGCATCAAGCGTTGGAACACGCATGCGCACAAGTGACTGATGAAGAAAATTGACAAGACATAATTTAACCAACTTTAAAGCAAAGCAAAGTACAGAATATTTACTTGTCTTGTCCTGATTAGTGGCCTGCTGAAATTGGATGTCTATCATATTCTTCACTTCACCTGATCCGCCATCAGATCTCTCAATCATCCTGAAAATTGGAAGCACTGATTAAAAAACAAGCAGGAGTGTTTTATCAGGTTTAAAAAATCGAGGCGAAGCCGAGAGTTTTTAAACCTGATAATACACGACTGCGAGTTTTTTGAACGGGTTCAAAGTCTCTGATATAAATCAACTCATTCTAGCACTAATATTTAGATTGGGGTTATTTTGCTCTACAAAATTGGAAGTAAACTTTAACTGTGTCTTTCTCAGTTTAAAACTTTACCTTATTTTGTTTTTTCTTTATGATTTATTAATATGTTTTTGAATATTGGATAAAAAAAAGCCGTCACAACAGGCCTATAACAGAGGTATGCAATTCTTTTATTCTGTTACTGAAAAGATTAAACTGGGTGTACCTAGGAAATTTAATATTTCGGGCTTTCTTCAATCGTCTATGTTGCCATGGCAACGATCGAAATTTTACTTTTAACCTTATAATTTTAATGTCGTATAAATAAATATATTTTTCGGCTTTTTACCAGCAAAAGTCTCAAAAAGTACCCCAATGAATGATAACGATCCACAACCTATCAAGTTCTGTTCAGCTACCTTACCCTGTTCAAGTATCTAATGTTTCGAAGCTTACTGAAAGACGTAATTGAGCATGACGAGAGTGCGAAGTGTCTCTCGCTTTTTTGCTTTTTTGCCATCTCGTATTATACCTTTTTTCCACTTAAAAATTAAAGTTTTACAACCGAAGTGTAAAAAAGAAGTGGCTTTCAGACGACACACACACATGTAAAAAGGGTGGGAAGAAAAAAGGGGAAGAAAAAAGTCTCACATCGCTACGTACCTCGTTACTCCCTCTTCACTAGCTGGTCTTTTGTCATCAAGAATACAACTTTGTAACGTAGCGCTGGCCTCTATAACAGAGTTGGATCTAATATGCCCTGAGGTTGCCAAATGAACAAGTGAAAACTGACCCAAACAGAAGTCTGGTTCCCTGGAAGGTTTTTCCCCTAAAGGCTGAAAACATAATGTACTCTCCTTTATTAGTCATTTCATTTCAAGCACCAAGGATGACAAGAGACAATTTGAAATACACAACGCTCCAGAAGACTTCAATTTTGAAATATCTCAAGTGGTATTTATGCCTAATATCACGTACAAATCATGCTATTATTTGTTTATACTATTACCCGCAAAGATTTTGAAATTTTCACATGTAGGTATTTCAAATCAAGCTGAAATACCACTGCTCTGAGCCAATCAAATTGCAGAAATTTCTCACGTAGTAGTATAACATTGTTAACTTGTGGTACTTTACCACAAGTTAACAAATAATAGAAATCAGAATTGATGACCAAATTATCAAGAGAGTCGATCATACCAAATCCTTGGGTCTTCCCATAGATGCTCAACTCTCTTGGGGTAAACACGTTGAAGAGATTTGCAAGAAAGTCTCTTCAGCTATAGGCGCCCTAAAACGTGTGCGGCCCTTTATATCCAAAGAAACTGCAATTAAAATTTATAACGCCTCAATTATGCCTCATTTTGATTGCTGCAGCACCGTCTGGAACTGTTTGAGTGGTTTCTTGAGTGATAAGCTCCAAAAATTACAGAATCGTGCAGCCAGAGTTATTACTAAATCACCCTTAGATGCGAGCTCAAACCACCTTCTCTCCACCCTCAGCTGGGAGAAGCTATCTCTTCGACGAAAGAAACAAAAAGCTTTAATGATGTATAAAACCATGAATGACCTTGCTCCGGAATATCTACAAAGTCCTTTCTCTCAGCGTCACTCTGCTTACAACTTAACAAACTCTGAGGGAAGGCTGACCCTGTCCAAACCAAGCACCAATTATTTGAAACGAAGCTTCTCTTACAGCGGGGCCATGTTATGGAATAACTTGCCCAAAAACTTAAAAAATGCTGCATCCGTTGAGCATTTTAGGCGAAATATCAAGAAGGTAGCTGATATATCGGATTCCCACACGGCAATCACGTAAAGCAGTTGTAATTAGTTTTAGTTTTTAACTTAAGCTTAACTGATGATTTCCCGTGTTAAATAAAGATTTACATACACATATACATACCTTCGCAGTTTCCTTCCAAAATACTGAAGCAGAAACCTCCTCGATTTCAAAAGAAAATTTCACAGTGTTCCAAACTTCTTCACTTTCAGCAGGCGAAGTAGTATCAGCACTCGCAGATGTATCTGCAGATTCTGAATATACCCAAACATATACTAGTTAATGACTCTAGCCATCATTAACAATGTGCCCAGGTGGATCCACCCGGTGTTTAACCTTCAGTTTATTCAGGCCTGGCCTACTATCTCAAAACACCCGAAGAGTTTTTGGGCCCGCAAAGTCATTTCTCACGTGTTCGTGCAATGTAGACCAACATACTTTTTGACCTTGTTTACTTTTCAAATAATTCGTTAAAAATCACATTTTTGTTCATAAACTTTAGGCACTTAAAATAGTTTTCCGGGACCAAAATGCTTTCGGGAGTTTGAGAAACAGATGCTTCCAGGAGTTTGTCACGCAAGGGCTTATATTTGTTTGTTGGTTTACAATTCCTTACTATTGATTTACAACCACTGCATTACCTACATTACACCTTACACACGGGCGCTAGTGTTTACCATACTGGAATGACCAATCAGTGTTTCAAGGAAGGCCCCATAAACACTTACTATAAGAGTTAAAGACGCTTGCCTGAAGTCCGAACTGACCAGCCGCACCAGTCATTTTATTAGCCTTTCCGCCAAATTTTCGCTTGAACCATCACAGCCCAGAATAGACTGATCTGCCTAATTAACATTGTGGTTCTCTTTACGACTGGTCTGGGCTGGAACAAACACTTACCCAGTCCTAGCTGAACTGTGGGTGTGGCACTTTCTTCCAATGACGATGATTCTAGTCAGAAAGTGAGACCAAAATAAACTGAGTCGAAAGGATTAGACTATCCCGGATAGTATATCATGTTTCAATGATAATGACCAGAGGCATGCTTCGAGTCTTCTAATCTTCAAAGAGTCAGGTACAAAAATCACAATTCAAGATTGAAGACAGAAAGCAAATTGTAAAAATTACGAGGATGTCCTGAACAGGAAAATGATACTTTGCTCCTTGAAAAACATTTGGCCAAGAAAAAATGTCTTTGAAGACAACAGTTCGTCAACAATTTTGTGGGCTGCCATGTTAAGTTCATGAACGCAAAGTTAAGTTTGCCAACACAGGTATTTGTGTAAGAGTGCCTTGATGCACATTCTATAAGGTTACCTGTTGCTGACGAAGCCACCCCTTCGCTTAGGTTCTGAAATAAAACCCCCATTATGGTTCTGATATCGTCTTCACCAGCGCATAACTACAACAAATGGGTAAAAGAAATCACAGATTATAAGGATCAAACCTACAAACAGTGCGAAGGGGCTAAAGTGAAATGATTTCGCACCCAAAGTAATGATAACACCATCACACAAACCAACACAACTCAACATGTTTACCTCAAAGACTCTTCAACCATACACGGTCTACACACGGTCCACAATCGTTTTTCCAAAACTTTCAGTAATCTTAACATTTCACAACGAGACTTTTCTCTTAACACCTTAAAAATAAATCCTCTAGGCGTATGTTTTTAGAATCTTTTGTCCTAAAAAAAGCCCATCAATTTCCAGGAAGTTGATGGTGACCGCCTCTTCTATAATAAACTTATTGTTCTTTTGTACATTAACCTGTTTCTGCCAATAGCGTAGCTTAAAAGGACACATAAACCGCAAATAACCCATCGAAAGTGGGCTAGTGCTCGAAACTTCTATACGGTGGCTAATAGACTTTTCCCGCATTTCTGTAAACTAAGGCACCAACTCGAGGTTTGGGTGGAGAAATCTCAGTGATTTGTATGAAATTGTCGGATCAACTGAATTTCACGTTTCTGGGAAACTGCCCACCTACCCTCCCCTAACTCAACCTTAACAGTTTGCGTCTCACTTGGGCAAAATGTTGGGGTAGGAGAGGGGTAGATGAGTAGTGTCCCAGAAGCCTTAATTGATCCAAATTGTTCACCCGAGCTTCGACCTCAATTCTATATTTTTGTTCATTTACCGGAATGCAGGAAAGGTCTGTTTGTCTTATGAAATGAGCAATTCGGCTGTGGCCAGTTCTTATCGTCAACTTGCGCCAAAAAGGTCATGCACAACTTACTTTTACGGCGTGTAACTTTCCCATCACGTCGACATCTGGGACATCATGGTACCACGGTGACAAGTTGCGAGCTACGTACACAGCTAAACTTGCTGGCTCTAAGACAAGACGGGTGGGCCCTATATTTTCTGCATCGGTCATGACAGCCCTAAAAAGACCATAGCACGATTAAGGTCAAAGTAAAGAAACAGTCCGCCACAAAGCCCTAAATGATACCATAGTAGGTGTCATTGACTTGCCTATGTTGTGATTCAAATTTATCCTTGGTTTAAATTTTATTTTCCTTTGTTTCAAACTCATTATCATGCATTTTTATACCCCAAAACAAAGACAAATGAATTTAAACCATAGATAAAATTGAGCCACAACACCTACTTTAATTCACCTGCAAATTTTAAAAGAACACAATAACGAAAACATTACAAATCTTCTCCGAAACAACACATAATAAACTTCCCTTTGATTACCAGACATGTCTCGATGGTCCACCAGTCACCATTAGTGTGGCATATATTGACATCGATTCGTCGTCGTATTTTAAACTTCACCGCACGTGAGTACTATGAATTCGTAACTCTGAATGGAATTTTTATTTCAAAAAAGAATAAAATGGCAATATGGTTCCTTCATGTCTACAAGAAAAAATACTACTTGCGGTGTGCCGCAAGGCTCAGTCCTAGGCCCATTACTCTTCCTAATCTATGTCAACTACATCCAAGAATCCTCTAACAAATTTAAATTTTTTCTATTTGCTGACGACACGAGTGCCGTATATCCGGACAAAAATCTCAAGTCCCCTGAGTCAACTGTAAATCAAGAACTCTGCAAGTTGTTCGATTGGTTAACGGCAAATAAACTAACCTTGAATATTAAAAAAACAAATTTTGTCATTTTTAGACCCGCTCAGAGAAAACTTACCTATCACCCTGAAATAACGACATTCGACAATGATCAAAATAAGAATGTGGCTCTAGAATGTAAGGAATCTGTGAGACATCTAGGTATAATAATTGACAATAATCTTTCTTGGAAACATCATATTGACCATGTAGCTATTAAAATGAGCCGAACTGTAGAATTGATCTGTAAACTGCGCCATTTTCTGCAAAGACACACTCTTTTAACTATTTATCGATCCCTTGTTGCTCCTTATTTAACTTATGGTTTGATGGCCTGGGGCAAGCATATAAATCGTACCTTGAAAAGCTTTTCAAGCTTCAAAAGTGAGCTCTAAACAGAGAAGAACATAAGTAGTTATATTAACCTTTTTATATCAAATTCAAACCTCGATAACTGCACTGAACTGAGCTCCACCACCATGTTATCAACAATAACAGCGTCACTTCCACTCGGATCGTCCCCTTCATGTACCAGATTGAAAGTGTTTGACACACTAAGATGACCAAGGTTTGCAACAAGTGCATCACAAGAGGTTGAACTGACCGGGATGACAATAAGAGGAGCTTGAATTGACACTGAAAGGCTGATTCGGGAGCTGTGAGACTGAAGGCTCTGAATCTGCGAGGAAACGAGAACGATAGTTATCAGGCGATAAATGAAGAAAGGGTAAATTTTTAGCTCCGTAGTGATGAAAGTGCGACCAAATACAAGAGCGCCCGACGGCGTATACCGGTCACCTTCCTAGAGAGGTGGGCCAGCGGCTTCAAAATTACTACTGAGCGTCTGTCCAATTCAACAGTAAACGTATCGGATCACCACTAAATTAACTGGAGCACAAAACTCAAAAGTGTTTTAACATGCCCACGAGTAAATCAATTTTGGTGTAAAAGTAAAGTTAAATTTTTGTCCATAGTGTAAGCGCACTTTGCTGCTGTTGCCAACATGTAAGCTACTCAGACAATGATCAACAAACAAATAATTTCATGAAACACAACATGGTTAAAATCTTCAACCGGCAGAAGGCAACCAATTTGCTATTTACGAGCATGATCGAGTAGGTGAACTAGACACTACCGAGAAACAACTCTAGCCAGCAGTCAGAACGAACTCCCAACCGTCCGATTGCAGGTCACAAAGAATTAATCTTAATAAAACATAATATGGTTTAAAGGCTCAACCGGTAAAGACAACCAGTGAGCTATTTACAAGAATGACCAAGGCTTTGTTCGCGGGACTAACGAGAAACAACTCGACAACAAACAAGATTTCCCCTCTCCTCCCCTCCCCGCCACAAACTGATTAAAAAACAATTACTGTTCACTTACAGTTGCAGTCGCTGACTCAGCCGCACTCTTTCTAGCATACTCCATTGCATCTTTTGCTCTTTGAAACTTGTTCAAAAAATCCTGAGAAAGAAAAAAAAACAGAAATTGGGTTAATGTCGGGAAACCCTAGAGACATTTCCCTAAGAATTGAAGTGAGGTGGGATAAGATAAATTCCGCCAGCCAAAGTTCCAGCATAATGCACCACTTTCGTCAACGAACATTTCTGCTGGAAAAATTCTGCAAACTAGATATGGGCAAAACTCGGGATAAATTCGGAAGTCATCATCTTAGTGGACGATGATGAAGTCTGTAGAGGACGTCTAAAAGTTAGTCAGTGCCACCTACAGTCCCATTCAGCACGAAACACGCGCGCCCCGTTTTCACTTCTACGACATTGGTAAATTTTAGCAATCTAAAACTCCAGTAATTGCCGCACCCTCTGGAACGTGGGTTAGTGTCCTTAATAACGATGCGAGAGAAGAGTTTTCTTGGAAAATATTCGAACTGGAGGAGCAACATCTGAGTTTATTACTTAGCCGGAGGTGCCAACTAAAGGATTCGCGACGCTCAAGAATGTCCCAAAATTGCTCATGAAGCTCACGAAGTGAGACAGGAATTACTTCGAGATACCTCGAGGTCACTTCGAGTTCTTTCGGCTACATTAAATATTTTAATTCATTCGAGGAATAAGTAATTATTTTAGATGAGGGATTAGACGATTTCGCCACCGCGACCAACTATGGTTTTTCAAGTGACAATTAGCTATAATATCGTGCACTGGTGGGTTCCGTGCGGGAAATATAAGAAAAGGGAAATAAATAGAAAGAGAGTTAGAACAATAAAACTGTGGTGTAGTGACTTAAAAGTTTTCTTGAGTCTGTAATAGACGTACATGTAATAGCAAGGCTCCGTAACAACGGGAGTTTGTTGAAGTCAAACGTCTGTACGTCTTGCCGAGGATTTGGCGGCAGTCCGTATTGTGGTGGGGTTTGTAAGAGCGAGGTGTCCAATGCAGTTGAATGTAAAGTTATACCACCCCGAAGATCTCCCGTCCGTGATGTGCAGGGTATACTGACTCTTTTAATTACCAAGGAATAAGATACCTACCAATAAGCGCATGACAAATTTGTTGAGGAACACCACTCTAATACATCCGATTCTCATCTTGAGTTTTACATCGGATGCTTCCATGTTTCTTATGTTATTGCCAGAAGTCGCATCATTGTAAGCAGTAACCTGAAAATACATTAACAAGAAACTAAAACAATTCACTAATTTCACTAACTGGGCTATTGTATTTAACACTCATTTATCGAACAATCGAGACAAGGACAGACAAATATGTTCAATCCGCTGTTTCTGTTAAGTTGTTTAGACGTTAAAACAAATACATCTGGGATCGTTTGGTCAACTGGCGCAAGTTGCTAATGGTTACTGGTTGTCTTTGGATACCATCGGTCAAACATGACAAACGTTTCTTCACCCAAACGATCCCATAAATCTTTGAAAGCTTGTACCCATTCTTAATAGAGTGAGAAAATGTACACACCTCGAGACTGAAAACCTCCTGGTTTACAATGGACACTATTTTAGGGTACAAGGCTCCACGAGTGGAATCCATCACTGACAAATCTTTCATTCTTCAAAAAAAAAAAGAAAGCGACATGTAACAGTTATCAATTGTAGGGTGCTTAAGCAAAGGCGTGTTGAGCGACGGGCGGCAACCGGAAGTGGACTATTTTCCATTCTTTGGCAGAAATTAGTTCCGAGAAATCGTGTCTATAAGAGTAAAGACACTTCAAAAATACAAATCTGGTGGAGTCAAGGCATATTAAAAGGCCTAGCTTCCGGTTAACGTGCTTCGCTGCCTCACCAAAAGGGACTTTAAGATTCAACGACGCGACCGCAGCGAGAACGTCAAAAAACAATAGGTTTTAATAAGCAAAACAACAACTTCGCACGTGGATCACACTTTTTTGTACATTTCTTCGCCGTTTTGCACGACTACGACGTAAAAATGCCTAACTTCGCGTTTTGTGGATAACAGAAACAAGCAACGACGAGATTTTATTTCTCTTTCTGAACTTAGATATGGTCCATTGGAATTCAACTTCTGGAGGGTTCGTCTACATTTGACAAAGTAAATGGGTAGGAATGCAAATTCACACTTCAAGCGACGTTCGCGTTGCTGTCGCGTTGTTGGATCCTAAAGTACCTAAACGTACGACCGGTAAATAGACACAATACATATGTACCTGGCGGTGACTTCCGTTTTGCTGCTCTTTACAACACAATAGGCTGACAATCCTATTCACAAACAAAACGGCGGTTAGAGTTACTTCCCTCTAGCCTGCATAACAGTCGCTTTATGACAAGCGAGGCGAACACAGCATTTCGCGCCCGAGGCGAGGGGAGAAAAATGCCGCGTTCTCCTCTCTTGGCTCATAAAGCGCCTGTTATGTGGGTTACTGCCCTTAAATGATCGACTCTATCGGTCTAAATACTGGTTGTTATGGTAACAACAGCAAGCGCGCTCTGATTGGCTGTTTTATTGTCAGGACTGGGCATTATTATTTTGTAATGAACGGGCATTACTAGCTAGGTTTCCAAGGCATATTAAATGCAATCTGTGTTTAACTCATGTTATTCAAAAAGGGTATCCGCTGACCAATGTCACCTGACTGTATCGCGGGCACTGGCTATAGTTTAATTGTCTGAGTTGGCGAGTTCTTCACAGAATTTTTAGTCGTAACATTACTGTTGGCCAAATAAAGAAAAAGGGCTCTGGTATTCAGTCTTGTTTACGTAGAAGTGATTGGCATGTAACTTCTCCCTATAAAATCCAACACAATGTCCAACAAATAGGTGATGAGAATACATTAAGGCCAATTTTTTTAGCAAAAGGATACGGTATTGATATTACCCCAAATTCTCTTACTTAATGGACAAAAAAATGTACAGCAGGCAGAAATGAGAATTACTTATCAAATCTTTGGAGTTGAAGGGTTTGACACTGGTTAGTTTGTTTAAAAAAAAAACAGCCCTAAGTAGTTACCTCCAATAATGATGTGACTTAAATCGCCCTCCACAGACGTCACTGTGACAGCAATTCCTCCCAGTTTAGCTGTAACTACAACTTGCACTACCTCATCATCCTCTTTCTTCTTCTTGCTTTTCCTTTCAGCTTCTTGTGACGACTTACTAGTATCAGTGACCTCTGTCTTTGTTTCGTCACCCGCAGCACTAGCTGAACTCTCTTCACTGATAAAAGGCAAAGGAGTGTTAAAAACGCAGAGCTTACTTCATTGCCTTCTTTCGTAAGTGGTACAGTAGGCATGAAGTTATCTGAGGTTATCAGCCTGTGGAGGCGACAAAAGGGAGTTTGAAACCCCATTTATGGCGTGAGAACTAAGAACTTGGAGATCTTGCAGGGATAATTAGTGAAACTGAGATCGGCAAGAATTTAATTATGAACCAATAAATCGTAGACAAAAAACTGAATAATGTCATTCCCACTATACTACGTTCCTTTCGAAGAACAAGGGACAAGGTACGTCGCATAAAGATGTCGCAAAAGACAATTAAAGACTCCAACATTGTTTAAACGCAGTTGCAGACGCCAGACGTTTAAATTGGTAAATAACAAAAAAACAAGGAGTTCTTCATCAGATTTCCCAACGCGTCGCGATGCGTCACGCCCTTTGTCTTTGGCGTGTTGAGTTTTCTTTCTTTACGAAATCAAAAAACATGAGTTCGCAGAAATATTGTAAGCAGAATCTGTCACGCTCAAAATTGGTGAAGCACAGTACCTCGGCGGAAGCATCTTCGTTGACAGTTCAATTATATTGAGTAAAGCTTCTTGATGCAGTTTTACTTGCAACGACGAAAACTCAACGTTTACCAACTGTTGGGTAGATTTATATCTTGAGCGATATTCAGGATGGTCTGATTCAACCTTGAAAAAAAAACATATGTGTACGATTAATTAATCAGGGGCTCTCACTTGCAAACAGGAAATCTGGGACAAGAAATAGCGAATTGTAACTCTTATTTTATTGCTTTACAATATATCAATAATCTTGAAACTCAAAAATTATATCAAACGACGGTTAATCTCCAGAATCTTTAATTTTTAAAAAAATCTATCGAGCGGTTTCCAAGTTATTCGCTTGTTTGTTTAAGTAGACCAAAATGTTTACAAAACCGCTAACAAGAGCGCCTCGATACATACTAAATCGGCTTGAGCTATCTCATGATCTTTCACACACGTTTTCCAAGTACTATGAGGCGAAATTGCACTTCAAAAGCGCTTCACTTTCTACAGATAACTGCCCAACATAAGATTGTCCAGTTTTTACAATATTTCTAACCATTAAAACTTAACCCCAAAATATCTCGATAACGCTATTGCAGATTTCGCTTAAACTTCACGAACATCGAGGCGGCTATCAGAGGAAAAAGCTCCCGTGAACGACTTTGAAGAACAGTTCCCAGTGCCGAGAAATACGGCTGCAGGTAAAATAGGTAATGGCGTCATTTTGTTGCTATGACAACTCCGATGTCATTGTAACCCTGATCATAACAGGTTTTCATCTTTATCTAATACAGCTGTAGTGGTGATTTTTCCAAATCTTTGTTAATGGTGACGAAGTTTGTATTCAAACTTGGGACTTGTGAGGTATTGACCTTGAAAAACTCTATCGAGCCATCTTAACTTATCTCCGCCTTTCTAAGGTGACCCAAGCCCCAACCAATCACTAACATTTGGTTACAGCTACAACATTACTTTACTCGTCTGCTACAAAGTTGTTTAATTAAAGTAAATTTAATTTAAAGTATTCGCCACAAATAAACACATTATGGTTGCAAATAGAGTGACAACAAAATATCCGCGACAAAGAGAAAGAAAGAAATAGAGCTTTCGTTCATTTAACGCTAAACTGCCACAGATAAAAAGTCTAATGCGAATGTCTATTTTGTATGTCATGGTTTGAGGAAGAAACTACTTTGGCGATTACAATCTTACAATCGTGGAGAATTTCTATAAGTAGGCTCCTGTCAGAACGTAGTCGATCCACTCTTCCCTACAGATATTTCAGAGAATTTGTCACCTCAGTTACAAAGGGACGATTGGCAACGACGATTTTTAGTGCAACATAGCATAACAACACTGTTGCGGCATTGTTTTAAATGGTTGCAACACTGCTCCAAAAATGCAAAAATGTATTGCGCTTGAAATCGTCGTTACGAATCGTCTCGTGTAATATGACCTTAATTGATTCTTGGGCGGAGCGCTAAGAAAGGGATTCGCGACGCTCAGGAATGTCCCAAAGTTGCTTTCTTGGGGGGACAAGATTGGTCACGCAAAGTCCGTGAGCTTTCGGTTTGAGTCGGTTATTTGACGAAGTGAGAGCGGAATTAGTTCGAGATATCTCGACATCACTTCGAGTTCTTCGATTGATTCCTTAATTCATTCGAGGAAGAAATAATTCTTATTTTTGGCTTACCCGGGCATTGAACCGACTCACCTGCGACCCGTCAGATCAGACGAGACTCTAAGTTGAAGGATTAGTTTCAGGACAAGACTGGGCACGCAAGTTCTCGACTTTTCGGTTAGTTTCGGCTATTTCACGAAGTGAGACCCGATCGTGATCACTTCGAGTTCTTTCGGCTAGAATATATAGTTTAATTTATCCAAAGAATAAATAATTAGTCTCTTTTGAGCCGAATCACCCGGTCGCGCCCCTTGAGACCAGACGCTAAGTTGACGGATTAGCCGATTGCGCCACCGCATGTGAAAATTAGCTATAACGTCGTGCACTAGGGGATTACGTGAAGCTATTTGAAAAGAAGGGACAAAAATAATTGCTTGGTTTACATGAAAATGATTGAAACCCCTTACGATAAAATGGTTTAAAAGTAGCAAGCGGTGAAAATTACTTGGTTTGCCGCTATCTTGACTTCTGGTTTTTAATTTACAAGATGGCCACAACGGCAACAAGCGTTGGTTCGCTTGCCTCGAGGCAAAAAACATAAAAGATCGATCATTTGTGGTCTTCTGAAAGTGTCAAGGAAAGGCTTTGAAGTTTTTTGTTTGCATTGTGCACATCGAATGCAGCGTGGAACGAATTTACGGTCTCGTCGTTCCGAAGGCCAAAAATGAAGTGGGCAACCATCCAAGTCATAACGCAACTTTAACCGCTAACCTCTCCGTAGCCAAAACTTAAGGATATCACAGTCTCGTTTCCCCATGTAGTTCGACATGACGTGTTGGCATATCTTGGGGAGGATACACAATCTTTTGAGTTTTCTATCTTTTATTCTCATTTTACCAGACACAGCTTTCACCGAATTAGGAAAAATATTGTTTTGGAAGATCCTGCAAGACTTTTAGCTGTTCCTGAAAGGTTTTGATTCGAAAAGATGATCGCTAGAATATCAAGGTGTTCATATCATGCCACGGTCAGCCATCAGTCCTTGAGAACGTCTATCGTTTACATGACAGCTTTTTCAAAGGGAAAGGCCAGAGCATTTTACGTGTTTCCTTTTCATTGATGTTATCATTTATATTTATGTTGTGTTACAAAATGTCCCCTTAATTAAAAATTGTTGCTGTTTTGAAACTGTTTTAAAGTGCTCATTGAAAAGTGTTTTAAAGAGCTTAAAGATTGTTTATCCTCGCCAAGATAAATTACAAAATGCTGCACAAAGACGTTTTTTTTTTTTTTTAGTTTACCTATTTTTATCTCCAGCATCAAACATTATAACAACATTATACCAAACAGCATTTTTAACAATTTTTGAAACAACGTAGGGGTACTTTTCAGTTGGAAGAAGGTTGTTGTTGTTTTTTTTTTTTACCTAGGAACGGAGCGATTTCTTCCGACAATTAGAGCTAAATTTCGCAAATTGATTGGAATTGACGGGTTTTACTACAGACGAGAGTTTAAGCAATTTTGCCCGTTCTTGCGCCGATGTCGAGGGCCAAAGGAGATGTCAGCACTTGACAAATGCTTTTGGAGGTATGGGTACGCTTGGAATTGACTGAGCCATTATGATGACGATGCAACCATCTCTCACAACAAAGAAAACCGTAACAGCCTGTGAGCAAGCTCTCCATTTAAGGAATATCGAGAGAAGTCGCACACGAATAGCAAGCGAAAGGAGAGGCGGGAGCAGGTGCGGGAAAAAAGTGAGAGCTCTTCGTTTCCTCTGCCTCTCACGGCTTCACCGCTCACTTGCGCGTTCGCTGGCCACTCGAAATGGAGAGGTTGCTACCAGTCCATAACATTTCTTGGTAGTCCTGCGAGTTCGCTATTCGATGAGCCAGTTTACGTTAGCAATTCCGATGAAAAATTCAAGCTAGTTACATACTAAGCAACGTCCACTATGGCTCCACGTCTCGTTTTTTACCCATTTCAACCAACCCTTAACAATTAACAACATTGCGGCACTCACACGTGCCTGACACAAAAATCCTCTCATACGCGTGATACAATAACCCGCAAGTGTTAACTCTGATATAATAGCTTCTTGTTCAGTTAAAAAATTTGGATTTACCTTCACGAATTTGACTGAAAGGAGTTCTGCTCCAACAGGTGTTTGCACAAGGTACAAAGGGGCCCCATCAGAACCAAACGTCATCTCTTTCACAGCCATGGAACCAAGAGAGGCACTTGCTGTCAGGTCCCAAGGATGCATAACTACTTTGGTGCCCAAACGTTTGATGGACAGTTCAAGACAAGGTGTTGCTTCACCAGTGTGATTAACAGTGCTGACATCAACTGCTATCTGTAACGTAAAGTAAGAAGTTACATTAGTAATGAGGACATCTCTTCTGGAGAAAACACTCACCCACTCTACCTTGTGTCTAGGTCCATAACTATGTTTTCGCTTAAGGAAGGTTTTAAACAATGTAGTGTTTGTATGTGTCTTGAACCATGACCAAGTGTCCGCTTAAGGAAGTTTACCAATGTAGTGTTTGTTTTTGTGTTTGGGACCATGACCAAAAGTCCGCTAAAGAGAGACGTTTGCTTAAGGAAGGTTAATAATGTAGAGTTTGTATGTGTCTAGGACCATGACAAGTGTCTGCTTAAGAGAGGTGTCCGCTTAAGGAAGGTTAAAAATGTAGTGTACTGTGTCTGGGATCATGACTAAGTGTCCGTTTAAGAGAGGTGTCCGCGTAAGGAGGTTAACAAAGAAGTGTTTGTATGTGTCTGGGATCGTGACTAAGTGTCTGCTTAAGAGAGGTGTCCGCTTAAGGAAGGTTAAAAATGTAGTGTACTGTATCTGGGACCATGACTAAGTGTCCGTTTAAGAGAGGTGTCTGCATAAGCAAGGTTAACAATGTAGTGTTTGTATGTGTCTGGGACCATGACTAAGTGTCCGCCTGATTAAGAGATGTGTCCACGCAAGGAAGGTTAACAATGTGGTGTTTGTATGTGTCTAGGATCATGAATAAGTGTCCGCGTAGGGAAGTTTAAGAATGTAGTGTTTTTATGTGTATGGAACCATGACTAAGTGTCTGGTTAGGAGAGGTGTCCACTTAAGGAAGGTTAGCAATGTGGTGTTTGTATGTGTCTGGGACCAAGATGAAGAGTCCGCTTAAGGAAAGTTAGCAATGTAGTGTATGTGTCTAGGATCATGACTAGGTGTCTGCTTAATAAAGAGAGGTGTCCGTGTAAGAAAGTTTAACAACGTTGTGTTTGTGTGTGTCTGTAACCATGACTAAGTGTCTGTTTAAGAGAGGTGTCTGCTTAAGGAATGTTAGCAATGTAGTGTTTTTATGTGTCTGCAAGGTTTTAGCCAGAAGGGTGTCCAGACGTCCTATGGACGCCCATTTTTGGAAGAAACACAAGGAAAATTCACCTTATCTCTCATACGTTTACGGGAAAACGTGAATTCTGGACGGCCAGTTTTCAATGTCTGGCTAAAACCCTGTGTGTCTGCGACCATGACTAAGTGCCTGTCTTTTAAGCTCATTTCTCGGTGTCTGGACTTTTAACGAAACACGCTCTCTCGTGTTTGATATCTTACATTATGCTGAGTGACAGAGAGTTATTATGATAGAAGGGAAAATATTCTAGGAAAACATCTGGACAGCTTGATACAGTTTTTAAGAAAAGAAGGTAACAAAAACCTTCTTTTTTAAAATGAAGATATGATCGTCGCAGTGGTAATTGCAATTTAAGGTATCATCCAGGGTAAAAACCCATCATTTTTCGAAATTTTCAATTTTTAGATGATTAAGTAGAGCTCATCAAGAGCTTTCTTTTAAAAACAATTCCAGGAAAAAATGTTTTTTTCAGTGCAGACTTATGGAGCTGTTTTTTCTATGCTAATTATTTTAATTGATTGTTGACAAGTCCTGTCATACTTGATACGCATGCCGCTGTTGAACCAAGCTAATCACGCAATTTGACAGAAATCGTGGTCTACAAGTATAGTGCTCACTGTTTTTTCCTGGACTTTGAAAGTGAATGCCTCCAAAGAAGAAAAAAGAGCTTGTCCGTTTTCGTCCTTGACTCCAAGACGAAAGAAGACGACAAAATCGTTTTGCAAAGTGTGGGCTTCGAAATTAGCAGAGAGTGACAAGGGCTCCTACTACAATCAAGAAAAATGGCTAAAAGATGACAAAGCTTCTGAAAAACCCATTGAAACTACCGCGAAATCGAGTTTCACGAGTTTCTTAGCGAGCGGAGGCAGCTTTTTAGGTCGCAAAGCGGCCAAGCAAGCGAAAAATTCGCGACCGGTCCCGCGCCATATAAAAATCGGACGAAGGACTTTTTTGAAAGTCTATTGTAGCGGGAGAGCAGCTTCAAGAAAAACTCCAGGAAGCGGTTTGTTGTCGATTTTTCCAGGGAAGTGTCGAACTTTTAGAAAATGTATCGAGTAAAAGTTGTGTCACTATTGTTGTCCCTTTTCTGGTATGCATCAACATTGACAGCTTTGGTGTTATAATCTGTTATAATCTCGTCACGGGCAATACGCCGCCAAAAATCTTTTTCCCCTGTTTTCTCGAAATGAAAATCAGAGCAAGTTGAGGGTACGTTTTAAACTCCAAGTCGGCAACCCGCGAACCAATTTGGCTGAAATTTGGCCAACTTACTGTCAGTTAGTTTTTCTAAAAAATCGTGTCTGCGAATTTTGATTTCTTTTTTCGTTTTCAAGTAAGAGAATTTTTTTCACAGGTAGTGCTAATGATTTGCTATCCCTAACTTCAATTGCTTATAACAAAAGAACAAAACCACTTGAGAAAAATCTGAGAAACGGTTTTTAAGTCAAATGTGTTAAGAAGCGAATGCGATCTTAATTGGCTTCTTCCGTTTATTTTTGGCTGGCCTGGACTTAAATTTACAGCGACACCCACTTTCACAAAAAGCTTCTCATTTCTGAATGGCGTTAATATTTTGATTTTTTAAAAGGAATAAGCAATAATCTGGAACTATTAAGCTTTCAGAAAATGTACGGTTTATGGGGGTATTTATTAAAAGCAAAAGCGCTAGCGCCGATCAACGCGGGGAGGATGCTTAAGGGTGGATGATACCTTAAGCAATCGCAAATAAACCAGAAAAAGAATTTACCCAGGCACTTATGCCAATCTATCCATCTTATGGGCTTAGTACCTTTTTAAGACTCAGATGCAACCACCTACCTCCTCTATTTCAAAATCAAGTGAAACTTTAATTTGCTTGGCCATAGCTTCTTTTGCTTCAAGCTTTGCTTTCTCAAGATTGGATTCACTGACCAGAACAAAAAAACAACAGAGGGTAAATCATTGAATATACAACTTACAGCCTTTTGTAATGGCTAGTTTTCTGACCAAGTCTTCTTCATTTTGAAATACAACTTAACTTAGGTCTCTCTTAACACAATAAGTTAACCAAGATACCGCTTCCATGAATGGTCAGCCATGTAGGATGGATTTAGTCTAAACTTATACTAGGGCTAGGTTCTGCGTACGTTAGTCCAATTTTTAACAGACAAAGAATTTAAAAGCATAATGACTCACACTTTCAGCTATATTAGGACAAAATTGTAATAAAATTAACCAGCGTTTTTCACTTTACCCGAATGCAACCCGTTTCAATCTTCCCCAATTTTATTTATTCGTCCTTAATTTTAGCTTCCTTACTTACGTCTTCCCTTTTCCAAGAACTCGTTTCCTCTTCTTAACGATTTTACATGTATTTAACAGTTTTAGTCAACAATGTAACAAGATTGTTGCTTGACCTTCCTCCGCGCGACGCTATTTTTAATTATGTTCTTCAAAACAATGTAGGTCTTGGTAAGTGTTATCAGTCTCGGCGTTTGCTGATAACACTTACCTCGGCCGTGATTATTCCGGATAACACAAAAACCTCATCCAATAATTGTTTATTATCTAACCGAATCGGCGAGCTGGCGAGGTGAAGCGAACGCTGTGATCTTGCCCACTCGGGGTTCTCCGCGTTTGACCCGCAAGAAAAAGTTCTTTTTCTGACAATAAAACAAATCCTTTAGTGACCAACCTTGTTCACTCATGATTGCGTGATATTGGCTTTGTTCTTTTTTGCACTTTTAAAAGAACTTGGCCAGTATCCAACCATCTTGAACTCATGTTTGGTCAATAATGCATATTTGATATCCACACATACTTTGTCAATGTTTCAGGGGGGGGTCATGAACATTTCCTCCTCCTCTTCCTCAACTTGATCTTCTGTACCAGATTCCAGTGCCCCCAAACCACTAACGTCTGAGCGGGCCCTGGCACCGTATCCTCGGCCGTCTACAGGAATATCCTGCAATAGGTATCATACTAACTTGTACACAGCACTCAAACCAATAGTCAGCCTTACATGAAACAAATCATCTACATATTTTCAGTTAACTGTTATGTATTACAGAGCAGACATCGGGAATCGAAAGGTGTCTTTTTTAACATACCACTGGTTTGGCATCTATCTCATCCACAGCAGTTTCTCCACCTGGTATTGGAATACTCTTAGCAAGCTACATAAAACGATCAGGCAAAATCTTTAGTTAGTTCTTAAGATAGCCGTTGAAGATTAAAGGACCCAAGAAACAAGGTATAAATTGATTAATTATTTAATAAATAAAAAGATGTTTAAGTATCGGTTTCTTTAGCTCCCTTGAAGACAATTCAATATGGTAAATAACATACACTTCTTGTAAGTCTCTTAAACAAACTCTCACAGCACTTTGGAGGTTTCGTTTCAGTACGTTTTTGAAAAAACAGAGAACCACAAAACGTCATGGCAGAGACGACAAATTAGTTTACGAAGACTATGAGCTGTAGTTAACGTCACGATATTTTGTAGCAAGTTCAACAGTATCCAAGGACTGGTTATAAGCTTTTAACAAGCATTTTAGAATAACAGACAAACCTTAATAACTTGTTGAAGTTTATCGTCAGACACATGAACCTTAACAGAAGGAAGGCTTCCAGAAAGTTTGATCCTGTTAAATAGATAACATAGCCACATGTTGTTTTTGTGCATCTAGCTCTGCCATTACAGCACCAGCATAACTACCAAAAACAGCAAATCAGGGAGTACCATTCAGGCACCAAAATCAGATTCAAAAGCCAGTGCATGTTGATCGTTATCAACTCTATTGGCAAAACCACAGAAAAGTTTGTGTTTTATTTCACTGGCCTCAGTGTTTCAAGAGTTGGAGAGCGCTATTCAATCACTATGCGGTGGAAAGTAGGTT